CATTTCATAGAAAAGATAATAAATTCGAGAAGATTGTCTTTTTTGATGGCCATTAAAACCGCCTCTCTTTAGGTTGATAGCACTCCTGGATCCATAGCATTAGTGCTTTTCCCACAGAATGCCAGTATGAAAAGGTTGTTTGGGGATCCAACCCTAGAACAATCATAAAAGAACTGGCCATAGGAGAATATGGAGAAGTCAGATAGAGGTCAGTGATCATTAACATTGTGCTTTGTTGATAGCTGTGGTGAAACTGAGTTTCACTAGATACTGTAATTGCTTGCATCCAAAGAGTAAGTCTGTTAGAATTATTGGGATCCTGGAAATGAGCATAGCCTCCTTTTTGTCTATCCCAGTTAAGGTAGTTATTGATAAAAGATGGAAAAGCTGCTTAATAGCAAGGTAAGTTCCATTGCACAACTTTGAAAGATCAAGATTATCCTACTCTATTTTGCTAGAAATAGCATGCTTTGCACTTTGATGGTTTCTGCTGATCTCAAATGACTTTCAGACTCAGTGGATCTCATAATTGGACGTCTTGTGAGTATTTATGCAGCTAGAGATATTGAGCTTAGTATGTTATTGCTTGAAGCATTGTAGCTATCCATGCAAAAAATATGTCTCTCGGAATTTCCTTTTGGCCATGATGTCTGAACATCCAAACTCACAGACTTTGGTACAGTAATATAGAGATTTACAAAACAAGTTCACAATGTGGAATATTCAGTAGGATTAAACTCACTAATTTACTAATGGTGAAGCACTCATGATTCCTTTAATATTATCATATGAGGTGGATAATTAAATGTCAAAATGGAAAAAATTCTATGTGACAAGTCCTTTTGAATGACATGATACATCACATAGGATTTTCCCATTTTGTCATTGAATTACATTAGTCCGATATATTAAATTTATATATCATATTCTTCCATTATTAAGTTTATATATCATATTCTTCCATTATTATATGCATATTGTATATAAGTGCTAGATGAACAATTAGAGTGAACTGACAAAGCAATTGTTCTAGTTGTTAGCCACTTACTACTTTTTATAATTTTCCTGTGAAACTTAATTCAACTTTAAATATATTTAATCATACCATAATGGAAAGTGAGTCTATCAATGCTGTTCAAAATTTTATTAAAATCCAGTGTTACAATCAAATGTTGGAAAAAGTGCCTAAAGTTATAAGAATAAACTATCATTTATAAATCAAAATTTAACCTTTGTGAAAATTCAAAAATTACTGCATCTTTAGCATTCAAATTAATTTCAGCCTTAATATGGTAATAGTTCACTAGATAATATCATGTAGTTGTATTTATATTTTTGTCAATTATGCATTACATTTATGAAACCTTTCTTTTTGCTTTTTAATCCAATGTATCACAAGAATATTGAAGTAAAAATCTTTGTATTATTATTTTAATTGATCTAACTACTTGCTAAATCTCTTTCTCTTTTTGGGGATATGATTCCCCCCTTTTTCTGCTAATACATTCATATCATACCTACCCAGAGAATCAGCCTGAATTAAAATTTTGTCATCATTTCATTTTAGAATGCTACTTCAGATTTAATTCCTTATTACATTTAGCTATGAATTCATCAATTATTTCCTTGTTAGAATTTACACTGACTCAATAAATTGATTTTATTAGTATACTATTTACATTATCAACAGAAAATCATTGCTTTAAATTTATTGGAATATTAAAACTTTATGTTGATCAGTTATCATTGACATTTTATGTGGATTTATCATGCAATGTATTTTTATATAAACATAGTCATTCACTCATATGTATTATAAAAAAATACTGAAAACAATTACATGAAGATTTCAAGTGTCAATGGATTATTTGACAAAATCTTGTAATTTTTGTCAAAAAATCATAATCAGATTCATCTGATTTTTTTAGTCGTGACATAATCTGATTCTATGTTAACATAATTAGTATCCTCATTAAATGATCTTGCCTTTCTGATAATGATCAGGACCATGATATAGCTTTCATGAATTATCTCCCCTATTTGTACTGATTTTAATCTGTATAGTTTCAATTCTTCAGATTTTCACTTCTTCAAATCCTGGTTACAGCAGATGCTTTCATGTTCCACAATTACTCTGGCATGATTCCGATATTTTTCTAATTTTTCACACTCATTCAATTTTACTCTGTAATCTTCTGGAACAATAACACCCACTATCTGCTAGATATTCTATACTTTCTTTACTACACTTGCAGCTAATATTGCTACTATTATGATTACAATGATTAAGTTGATTTTTGAATTGACAGTTGTCCTCCTAGACTAATTGCACTACCAAGTCTAAAGAGTGCATTGTATGCTATTTTATCTAAAACTGGAAGAAGATGGACTTATGCTTTTCATGCAAAGTGAATAAAATTTGTACTTAACACATTAATTTTACTTTCTAAACCAATAAACATTAAACTACCTCCATAATAATTAGCAATCATTTTATTGCTGCATTTCTAATTTACATATACAAACACTAGCTTACTACAAATTACTCATTTGTACAATGATAATCTTTGATGTAGGCTTTGGTTGAAATTAATCTTTCCAAACACCTGTTTTAAAGTATTTATAAAATTTTATATATATTGATAAAAGTATATTTAAATTTAAAAGCTGTCATTTTTCATGTACTAGTATCAGGTTATCAAAATATATTTGTTTAGTTTATAACGTAATTTTTTTATTTTGTTTTAACTTTTGATATTAATGTTATTGGTCAACGTATATGAATATTTTACTATATTCTACATTGCATGAATATAACATTGATCATTCTCAATTAATGTCTCAATTACTGTCAACTTGAAAAGGTCTGTCTAACTGTAAAACATCATTCAATGAAAGATTTCTATCATGAATCTTTGCAAACTAATTTGACATGTTTAATCATTCAAGGTACTTCATAAACTTCTCAAATATTTTTGTTCTTAAATTGAGTTTTTATCTTTAAAATAAAAAAGCATAATATACCAAAAATGTTGATTTTTTTCTTTTCTCTTCAATATTACAATCAGTAAACAAAATAAATCTTTAAAAATACTATCACAAGACACTCAAAAACAATCTTTAGCATATCAAGTTAGTTCAAAATAAACATTCCTAATACCATTTAACAAGAAAAACAACACATTTTTGTTACCCAATAATCAAAGATTTTGATTGATAATCTTAATAGTGTCAATTGTTTAAGCCAATAAAGGTGAAAATGGAATATGAGAATTGAAAGTTTGGTTCATGACAAAACCTTGAGTGTTAAGTTTTTTATATTAATCTTTAATTATTTTTTTAATATAATTTTCAAATTAACTTGTATTTGAAATTTCAGTGATATCCATATATTCAAAATTAAAGGGTTTTTGTCAAAATGAAGATTAAACAAAAGCTATCACTGACACATTTTTATAAAAAAAACATAAATTTTATAATTTTTATTTGTATTTCTTTACTTGTGCTTTAAAAATGCTATTTAATAGTAATTATATTACTATTCATTCTTGTTTCAGTAAATATTCTTTATTAAGATGCTTGTGTAAATATGCCTGTGTAGACTTGATTTTATATATATTGGTAATTATAATTAAAAATCATAAAACATTATTTATGATTAAATGTAGAGATATATAAAAATAGATTTCATTATTTGATATAGCTTAATTCACATTTTATTATTTTTTATATACTTTATCATCCAACAAAACAATATTGTTACAAAAAATATAAGGCAGAACAAAAGTTTTTAATGTTTTTTAAGTAAATTTCAAAGATAACATTTAGATATTTGTCCATAGAATTATTCAACCACACATGTGCCATTTTGTTCCACTAATTTTCTCCATATTTGAGGCAGCTTCATGATTCTGAGAACTTGACATCTTTTTAGTTGATGAACTGGTCTAAGTGGTTCTTATAGGCTTCCAGAGAATTGAAGTTCTTCCCATTAAGAGAATTTTTTAGGGATTGAAATAAGTGGTAATCTGAAGGTGTAAGGTTAGATGAGTATGGAGGGTCTAGTAAGACATCCTGGCCAAGCTGTACCAATTTTTGCCAGTTCTCCAAATAGACATGAAGTCTAGTGTTGTCCTGATTGGACACTTTTCATCGATTACTGCCTTTAATCAGTTCAGTTGTGAACAGTGCTTGTGTGAATCAGTGTCTGATGTTACTGAAGGAGCTTGTAATAAACAATGCCCATCCAATCCCTCCAGACACACAGCATCACTTTCTTCAGTTTCAGACTGGTGGTTGGAGTGGTTAACAGTAGCTCTTTTTCTTTTCCTATAGACCTTTTTTACTCTACATATTTCTAAACAATCCATTTTTCATTACATGTTGAATTTCAGCAAGAATTGCAGATTAAAATGTGATCCATTGAATTTTTTCCATTAAATTATGAGACACCCAAATATTGTAAAAATTCATGTATCTAAGTGTTTTCAAATGACTTAAAATTGCTCCTATATGTGTGGTATTTCTGTGATGTTTCGTGTTATAGGATCTGGATTATCTTTAATCTGTGTTTTGATTTGATCCTCATCAACAATTGCAGGACTGCCAGAATTGTTATGTATCATGTTACTGTGGTCTTATGTTGGACAAAATGTACTGTATGTTTATTTGTAGCAACCTATGACATGACTAATTATGACTGCTAGTAGCCACAGGCACTACACATAATTGAATTTGATTGATTTGCTTTTTATGGCTTATCAACCTTTTGCAGGTTATTTAAAGCCATAAAATATTTTTAGATTGTAAGAATTTTTGGAGATAATGAGTTACTAATACAAGTCCTGCTAATTAACCCATAGCTGAGGGAGAAGAGGTAGATTCATACCTTTCCCAAGTGTATTTATGAATAAGTGAATATTATGAACCCAACTAGAATTAGAACTTGGCTCTGATTACCATTCCTGAGCCATTATCTATTACATCACCTGCACATCCAGGCTTACAGCACCTGGAATCCCCAAGTGGTCACCCATCTAGATACTGACCAGGCTTGATGTTGCTTAATTTCAGTGATCCTACAAGAACCGGTGTTTCAATGTGATATGACCATAAGCCACACTTTATTGAAATGTAATTGGTCTCTATAAGTAGAAGGCAGTTAACTTTGTATTTATTAATACATCACATCTCTTATCACAGCATATAAAAATTATAATATTAATCCTTGACAAATAAAATATTTACATGGTATATGTCATTAAGATATGATGTATGAATAATCACAATGGTAGACTACCTTCATGCTCCTAGAATTAGCATTATTTTACCATTATTAAATTTCTGTTCTGTATCTAGTATCTGTATTTATTTATAACATGACTACTACTTGTTACAATTTTGCCAGCTTCTGAGTATGACATGATTGAAGGGGTCTGCTCAATAGTCTCTGACACAGTTGGTTCTTCATGTTTTATCATTGAATTGTATTTATATGTGATCACCTGGCTTCAATGATGTGAGTTCTTTTCCTGTATGCTAGTTGTAATATTTTTTTATGTTTAGCATGTCTTTGCCAAACTATATATAGATGGATTTTCTGTATGTGAATAGAGTAAACAATTCAAGGTGAGTAATAATGTTCTTAGATGACAGCTCATGAGAAGTTGTGTAGGGGATTTTTCAACTTTATTTATTGATGTATTTTTTAATTCTAGTAATAGGTTCATAGCGTTTACCTCCATTTTTTTTTCAATAATCTTGTCTACTCATGCATCTTTTATCAAGGTTGGTGAAACTTTGAATTATCAGATATCTTACCTTGTTGTTGACAGAACATTTCAGTTTTACTCAGAGCTGTCTTAATGCATAAGCATGAACATAGGGGCTCCATGCTAATCTGTGTATGTTTAGTGACTTGTGTTACAAAAGCCCCTTTTTAAGAAATACTAAAAATAGCAATTACTACAAGCCATGGGTATTTTGATTGGTGAAAATATGTCATAATAGGAATAATTTGAATTGGTTTGTGAATAAAAATGAATGTGGGAGAATGTCACCTTTTGACCTAGAAGACACTGGAAATGGTGAAGACTTTCTTCAAAGAGGCAGCCCACCTATATAAATGGAAGAGCTGGTTTGTCTTGCCATTTCAGTTCACTTGTAGACAATTTCACTATCAAGGAAAAGATCAAAGACCTGACCCTGACTCTCTTGACAATCGGTCTTCACACAGTCCTAGAACAGACATGCTGGTAAAACTCATTTCTATCTTTTAATATTTGTAACCAAGACTACTGTTGACTTTCTGTTGAAGACAATATTATCTTTTTCTCTAGTTTGATTTAATTCTTAAATTTCCACTAGACTGAATCAGTATTGTTTTGCATGTTTAATTGTAATATATTTATATTTTTACTTCGTAAATGAATTATTTTTATTGTTATAAAACTCTAGCATTGATGGTATTTCTTTATTTTCCTTTTCTTTCATCTTCTCTCTCTTTTCTTTTTTGTCATAACAGTGACAAAATGGATAGCTCATTCTAAGATTTGATGTTCATTTCAAAACAATAACAGCAATTCAGCTGTCCTAACTAAAACAAATAATTTTCTCAATCATTCTTCTCATAATTTTCACAACAACAACAAAGTAATTCATGTTTCTCTTCAGATATTTATTTTGATAAAACTAACTTAGTGTTTGTTTAAAAATTTTCTGTTGATGAATTTCTTTCTTCATCCAATTTGGATGAAGTATTTCACTTATTAAAAAATCAGTTATTACAACTAACTAGATATCTTGATTTAAACATTAATGCAAATATGAAAAGAGCAGAAGTAACATTTGACCTACTGTAGTACTATTAATAGCAATGACATGATTATTGGATATATTTATACATTGTATATGAATCCAGGTATAGGGCTATACATAGATTATTTGTGATTGAACCTGAGATTCAATCACAACATTGAATACTTGTACAGTAAATATGTAGTAGTTAAGATTATGAATTTATGATACAGTACTAATTACCAGGTATTTATAGTTTGTGAATATATGAATGGATAAGCTTTTTAATTGTGCAAGTTGAGAAAAGTGCTGAATGTAGTCTTGTAGATCTATACATAAATGAGACTAGATCAGTGCCAGACACCCTAGCTATGCTACTAAGCTAGATCTAAGTCTTGTCCAGCAGTTTTGTAAATCAGCACACAGTAGAGAATTTGTATTAAGAATAAATACTGTTCATACAATTAAAGGAAGGACATGTTCATTATGGAATCAGTATGTTCAAATATTTAAGTCTTATTGAAGCATACTTATATAATATAACCCTACATCCTGGAGTGAGACTAAATACTAAATATTTAAGATATATATTTCAAGGTAATATAACCCTTTCAGCAGAAATGAAACGTAATGTTTTGAGTGGAGCAGATGAAGAGAGCTGCAGAGGAGAAGGAGAAAATAGGAAAACTTCCAAAATTAACATCATGGCTCAACACAGGTACAAAAACAGTCACTCATACCATTCCTTCAGATATAGCATTCACATCTACATCCATTCCTGCTACCAATTGTCCAGTTTCAGCAGATACACAATCATTGCCTGTTGCTGCTGCTGGTAACATTTTACAAAAGGAAATACTCAAATCTGTAACAGTAAAAGAGTTTACAATCCAAGAGACAGATCTGGAACTGTGGAACATTAAAGATACTAACACAAAAAATTAGTTGATTCACAGTGGGTCCTTGTCATGTCAGAATCATGATAGCAACCTTTTAAACTCACACAGAGTGTATAAAACAGCTGGAGTAGAGAATATGAAGGCAAGGTATTTCTCAAACAATATGTTCAAATGTGAACTGCAGAATGGTGAGTGTGTAGAACATGAATGGCTATTCTATTCATCATCCCAAACGTCATTTTTACTGTTTTGTATGTTGCCTAGAAAGAATCTCCCTTTGCTATGTTGGAGTTCAGTGAGAAGCACAGCAATTTTATTTTCGAACATGAAAATGAAGAACATTGAAAGTGCATAACAGCATATGTGATAAGGCATAAAGAAACTAGAAGTGTAGATTCTTTTTTTACTTGAGCAACATTGCTCAGAGCATAAAGTGTTGACATGTGTGGTTTCTGTAATTTGCTTTCTTGCTTCCAGATTTGCCATTTTGTGGAGAAAATAAGTTTATTTGGTCAGCAATAAATGGCAACTATTTAGGTATACTAGATAAAACATTCACTTTTCCTGTCATCAGCTGACAATGAATAGCAAGTGAATCCAAAGTAAGAGGCAGAAGGTATGAAGCAAAAAAATTAAAAACCTGAACACAATCTTTCTCACAATTCTTTGGAATAACATGCTTGAAAGAATGAACAAAACAAGCAAGGATGTACAGAAAAATAATTTTGGACAATTTGAAATCTGTATTCCCAAATGTTGAAATTGCACTCAGAGTGTTCATGTGCATGATGTTGACCAACTGTACAGGAGAACATTCTTTTGGAAGACTGAAACTTATAAAAATCTGCTTCATAGCACAATGGGGCAGCATCATTTGAACTGGCTTTCACTTATATGCAAGCAAACTGACATCTTATTATTGAAGACCATTGACTTCAAGCCACTAATAAAGCAATTCTTTAAAGAGAAATGCTGCAAATGCTTGTTATAATAATAAGTTCATAGAATTTCATACTGTGCCATCTAGTTTGTGTGGCTTACTGAGTATTGTGTTTTTCAAGCCTTGTGTATTGTTCAAATGTTTATCATGTTGATTAGTTGCTTCTGTACGGCATGTTTTGTTGAAGTGCCAATAAAATAAATATGTTTAATGTTATTGATCATTTACTTTTTATTCTTGTGAGTGATTGTTGTAGGGGCCCCAGCACACTGCTTTGCTCAGAGGTCCATAATGCTGTTAAGATGGCCCTGTTTTACTTGTCCTTCAGATTGGATGATGTGTCCATTGTAACTCTTCAGTCAGACTTTGGTTGTCTATAGTGGACTGGTGCAAAATGTATGCAGTTCATTCTTGGGTATTATTTTGGCTTGTGCTGTAGTGTCTAGCTTGAGATTAATAATTGTAATATCATTTACTATTATATATTATGTTGAGGCAGATATCACTGCATTTGTTCCTAGCATGATGCCATCTAAAAATAGTTAACAGTATGATGAGTCATCACATTCCTTGGGACTTATTTCTGATACACTTTGTAGTTTACAGTAGTACATACCAGCAAAATGGTTGGGTTTGTGGCATCATCACATGTTTTTCAATAAGCCAAACATTGTTTCAGTGAGTGCTTTTTTTCTATATTTATTACACAAAATGTGACATTCAGGGCTGGTGTTTTGATACTGGGATGCCAGGTTTTTCAGTTTTCTTGTTTTTTTTTTGGGGGGGGGGTCAGTTGTTTTTCAGCCCTCCATTCTGTGTTACTGCCAAATCTGATGATTCTCCATTTATCCTTTTATCTTGGTTTGCACTGACTTCAATCCCTGCCTTACTCCCCTTTCTTATGCATGCTGTTTGCTGCTAGTATAGGTTCATGATTATTCTGATATCTTTCCCAAATATATCAAGGTTGCTGAGCACTTCCATCAGGTCCTTGTGACATACTTTGTCGAAGGCCTTTGTATAGTCTATGAAACATAAGTACACGTCCTTCTGCATCTGTATCACTCTTTCTAATAACATTCTGAGCATGAATATTGTGTTCCTTGTTCCTGTGTCTTTAACAAACTTTCACTTTTCTTGTCCTCTCTCTGGACTGATTCTGCTGCATGCTTTATTCATCAGAATATGGATGATGAGTTTTGTCATTTGGCTCATTAAGCTTATTGGTCGCATTCTTTTGCACCTGGTTTCTTAGGCATAGCTATGAAGATAGATCTGCTGAGGTCTTTCGGTATATCCCTGCTGTTGTAGATTTCATTTGTTATTTCGGTGATCTTGTCTATGCCAAAGTCATCTAAGGCTGTCAGCATTTACATTACAATTCCATCTGGCCCAGCTGCCTTGTTTCTGTTCAATTTGGCCAGTGTGGCTTTTACTTCAGTTTTCAGAGTTCCATGTCTGTCAGTAGTTCTGTGTATTGC